AGGCAGGATCCCCTCCACAAAGATGGCATTCCAGCAGCAGTCATCCTCCAGGTTGTGCTGCAGCCTCGGCAGTGGTTAATCTTTGGGTCCTGCAACCTCGCTGCACTACGAGAGAGCACTCGAAGGGGAGTGCAGCTAAGGGTACAGTAAGTCACGCTCATCCCTGTGGGAATCAAGTCAGGGACAAAGTTTCGGGAAAAGAAATGCAGATGTGCTCAATGCAAAGCCCCCCCCCCCCCCCCCCCCCCCCATACCTGTCGGCTGGCGGGATCTTGCCTCTTTCAGGTAGTAGAGGGCCTTGTTGAAGTCACCCAGGTGGTAAAACGCCACTCCCGATCGATAGAGTGCCTTGAAGTTCTCGCCTTCTTTCTGAAGCACTTTGAGGCAGTACTCCTTGACTCGCTCGTAATTCACCAGCTCGGCCTGGAGCAGGCAGGCTGCAGGGGATGGGAATGACAGACAGACGGGAGAACATTAGTGCCGTATTTCTCCCTGCTCCTGCAATCTGCATGGAGGAAGAGAGCAGCTTAGGTGAGGGAAATGACTCAGACCCATGATTCAGAAAGGGTGCAGTCATAGGGATTGTTTGCCAAACCTGATTGTTCGCAATTTAAATACCAACTGCTTCTATTTTTAGCATTGCAAAGCGAAGGGTCTGTGTTTGCTCCCGGGGAGGGGCGGGGGGGATGACAGGGGGACAAGGGACAACGGGGACAGCAAGAACGTAACTGTCCCTCTGCAGAGCGGGAATGCCGTACAGTCTCATGGCAGTGACCCCCTTCATTTTTGTAGTAAAATAACTGCTCAGACTGAGGGCTGGAGCTCAGGAAAGTACAAAAAGACAGTCAAACAGTCGTCTAACAAGGAAAAAAGGGACTAAATTGAATCAGATTTTGTATTTGGCTTAATCCAAGGTCGTCAGATTTACAAATAGTATGTAATTGCCTTTTATCCAGGAGGTCCTGTATGGAGTTTTGCTATAGGAAGCAACAAGGGAATGTGCTGCTAGCATTTGTTCCCTGGAGCTGCGGCACAGGGAACAAATGTGCCGGGCTGTGTGCTTTCTGCAAAGTGTTGCAACACGAGTTCATCCCAAGAGGTCAGTTCTGCTGGATTCCTAAAGGAAAAGGTAAACACAGTGAAGAAACAGCATGCTGAGGACGCTGTGCTGAAGGACAATTGTTGCATAAATGTCAAGGAGCTGAAGAAAAATCCCCATGGTGAGCTTCCCACAACTAGGAGTAAAATAAAGAGGAAAGGGGGAGATCCTCGAGACAGCTTTACAACTCTGTTCATGGCTTACTGCAGTGCTTACTCTGGTGGGCTAAACTTCATTAGGTGTATTGGGCGTTAAGAATGGTTTGAGGAACGCTGACAAGAACAGGACATGGTGCAGTCACAGTCTTTGGGGAAATGAAGGAAGCTGTGCTGTCCACAAGACCACCTGGTGCTGCAACTTTGGGAATGACACAATTTGGGGAAGGCAGGCAGGATGCTGCTGCAAGGATCAGTTCAGAGGCTGGCAATGTCAAGTGCCAGTGCATGGAGAGAAATTTCCCATGGCAGGTGGTGTTACTCAGTGTGTCTCTGGCAAGGAGGAGACTCACTGCTCCTAGAAATCCAAGTCGTCACAGTTCAGGTGTCACCAATGAGCAGCCAGACTTCATTTTTTGCATGGTAACTGCAGCCTGCAGCTGAGAGGATATGATGCTGGGTCAGGGATATGATACAGTTCTTGATTCCCTTCCCCTGCACCCCTAATGTAAGCCCTGCACCCCCCCTGCAGCTCGCTCTACATTTCATGAGCAGGAGGTTAGCTAGATGACCTCCAGAGACTCCTTCCAACCTAAATTAACTGATCACAGACTCGGACTAACATGGATGGAATAGGTTCCTAACCCAACTACATGTTTCAGTCTTAAAGAGCTAACTGGCAATGATCCTAAACAGGCTTTTACCAGTAGAGAATTGATAATACAGATGTGTTGAGCAAGGACTACAGAACTAGCCCCACTGTTGGTACGTTTAGTTGAGTGACACAGAAATTACTAACGACAGCTTTGTCTCATTTGCTTTAGTGACGGACTTTCATTATATTTCAACAGCTCTTGCCATTAAAGTGCATAGGTATTTCAAAAGCATCTGGTTGCTCACTGTTTGACTGCCAGTTAAAAAGCACGTATGTTTCCAAAAGCTTAGCGGCATTTCCTTATCCAGAATTTGTCCCTTCCTATTTGTCAAACATTGATTTTTCTCACTCTCTTTCTAATGGAGCTTGAAATGACTGTGCCTTGTTTTCCTTTATTTTTCAAAGCTATTAAAAAGTAAATTTACTGCTGGCTTCAGAGCCCTGGAAACAGGATTGCTTTGTTTATCTGCTGACCAGTAGCGTGTACAGCAGCAGCAGTAGCTTTCTGCACGCTGCCAATCTGATCCGGCCTTTCACGTTCTGTGAAACTGCCTTTCAGAGCAACCAGGGCTGGGGTTCAATCTCTCTGTTCAGTTATTACTTGGTATTTCCAGCTGGAGTCACAGAAATTCCTCTGAAAAATGACAGGCAGTCTATTCATGTATATTAACTCAGTAATTCCATAGTGGACTTGCTTCATGGATCTGTTTAAAAGAAAAGTCTCCCGCATCCTGCAAATTCATTAACCCAAATGGGCTTCCAGATATCCAGCTGGGTTCTTTCTGTGACTCACACTGCCAGTAAAGATTCTGCAGGGCATCCCCACGAACAGCGCACAAGGCAGAGAGAAGTCAGTACCACGTGGCTAGCAGGAGAGGCGCATGTTTATCCGAACACAGCGAGCAGATGGATGTCCAGGAAACAGTTCTGCTGGAAGAGTTGGCCATTTGGAGAGCCAGCGTTGGAAGTGGCTGATGGAAATGATCCTGGAGGGAGTATCTCCCTTTTAAATATTTAGAGGTGCGTGCTTTCTGTTCTTGGTGGACTGAAATTATCTTAATGGACTGCGATTCAATGCAAATACTGAGGCTGTTAGCAATTCAGCTTTCAGAAATGGAAGAGGCATGGAATCCTTGTACTTCCTAATTCGGTCAGGGGAGAATTGTTTTGAAAACGTGTTGCTTTCCTAAACAGACGTGCACATCTCTGGGAGTGTTTGTTTACCACATCAAGTACCTCATCACCCTCCTTCTCAGTTCATAATAGGCCCCCGGTGAATCCTTCTGAGGAACAGAGGTTCATCCAGCTCCTCCTCCTGCTTTCTTGAAACCGAATGGGCTTGATCCCGCACAACACCATCCCTAGTTGTCACCTATAGTCACCCATTCCCCGCGGGTCTCGTTATCATTGTAACACATGCATCCACTGGCTACATCTCTCCAGCTCAGAACGTAGGGTGTCCTGCTTCCCCGCAGCGTGTGATGGTTATCCATCATACTTGGTTATCATCCTCAATTTGGCAGCTGATTTATTGTGTCAGCTTAAGCAAGAAGTAACTCCTAATTTTTAAAACCTTGTATGTTGCATGGTGATGAAGACTCCCTATCTGCTGTAAAATAAACTGTTTTGAAACTACTGGGTGAAATATGCTGTGGGGAGGGGGAGAAGGTTGATGCTATTAGCCCCAGTAGAAGGGCCCTGTCCATCACGCTTCCTGACTGTTGATATTTAAGCAAGGAAATAGGAAGTTTGGCTGGTTTTCCTCCAAAGAGGAATGTTAAGCCTAAATTTCTAAGTTTTAATTTGTGGACTCAAATCTATGCCAGCCAGTTCAACGAGTTGGAACAATTTGAGAGGTGCAGTACAGATCTGGATAACTGTACTGTGAGAGCTATTTGTGGGATCCTGCTCAGCAAACCAAAGCTTAAAGCGCCTGTAGAGCCAAAATACATCCACACCTTTAACCTTTACCAGTAGCTGTAGTTAGCAATGGTGGGAAGTTGTAACTAAAATCCTGGCAGTTGAGGGTTTTGGTTTCTACTTTATTGCACCCTGAATTAATTTTGAATTCCAGAGTATCTTTCAGGAAGATACCTAGGCTTGACAGGTGCCAGTAAGAAAGGATCCACGCAGTCCTTTTCTCCCAAAGGTTAATTACTTTCATTGTTTAGGAAACATCACTATGTTTCTATACTGATATTTTGTTTAGCTGCAATTACTAGCCACACCTCTGTTATCCTGAAAAGACTGTGTTTGCCTGTGGCATTGGGGCTCTGAGACTGATCGAGTCACTCAATCTTCTCTTCGACAGCCTGCACAAAGAACTGCTTGGAGTCTCTTACTAAAAAACCCCGTAATTTTCAGCTTTCCTCACTTCTATAGCTGTTTTCTGAGCCCTCAAAATGAAGTTTAACTGAAAGCGCTCTCACTCAGCATCTTACCAGAGAAACCTCTCCTGTGTGAATACCTCTGCAGGTTATACAAATAGCTCAGTTTGGCCCGAACTTGGCTTCTAATTTTGGCTAAGACCTAAGCCTGGAAGTAGGATGTACGGGTTTTAACATGGAGATTTTGAACAATAGTATCAAAGGCCTTGCCTACCTGGCAATTTTCACCAAAGGATGAATCTGCATGCCAGAACAATCCTCCAGACAGAGTTTATACCAGTGGCTAAATTCCCGCTGTAGGCAAGGCTCAAGACCTATCCGTGTTACAGAACAGCTAGGAGAGCGAGCCAAATTACTGTGCAAACAGCGTTAGCATATCCCTACCCCGTGGCATGTTCCTTGGGCTCGGCACGTTGTGTTAGTCATAACAGGAATTCCATTTGCTGTTGTTCTGGGAGATGAAAATGCCCTTGCCCTACAGGAATATCTTGGGTTGCGAGTTCATATTTCACAATATTTCCTGTCTTGTTTGCAGTTCGCTATCACCCAGAGAAGCTGGTAGCGCTGCGTATTTTTAAGATTGCCTTGTGCCTTCCACTGTAGGAGACTCAGCTGCTTATAAATTTGTTGGTCTTTTAACTTTCTGGACTAAAATTTTCCATGCGCAATGTCTGCCTTTGATGTCTGCTTTTGGAAAATGTCAGCCAAGACTGTTCAGGTATTTTTGAAAAACAGGCTAGGGAACCATATCTTATTTTTTCCCATTGTTAAAGATTTCTGGTGTCTGTCTCTTTAGATTTGTCTCATGCCCTCTCATCGTTTGGCTTTGCAAACTGAAATCTGGCAGATATCATTTGTGTCAAGCAGGTGCCTTCTGTTATCCCTGGGGTAATCTATAGCTGGCCAACTGATAACCTGAAAATAAAACCACTAGAGTAGTGCATATAGTACTCCATAGAGATGCGTTAGAATTTGGTACTCAAATCCATTGAATATTCAGTCTACCCTGGGCACAATCCAGTCTAGGAAAAAGCAGGGATTTGTAAACTTAAAGAGCAAAAAAATTATCTTATTGGCTCACTGGTCGCAGGAAGAAAGACGAGCAGAAAGTGGAAACCAAGGTGAGAGGGGTTGTCTTATTTATGACAGAAAGACAGAGAGACGGATGCTTTTGCAAGAGGAGGAGAGCAGTGTGGAAACACACGTGGGGACAGAGGCACAGAACTGTGGGGGTGGCGAAAGGGGTGTACGAGTGGGGAGTTGAGGTCTAGTGAGAAGGTAAAGTCTGGAGGGAGAAGCGGAATTAAAGAGTTTGGGACAAGGTGCTAAGGACATACAGACACAGGGCAGCTAGCCTGAGGACCAAGAGGAGCATTTACAGCAGTGAAATCCAAGCAGAGGAAGCTTGTCTCCCTAGGTGTGCATGAGAGAGCAACTCCTCTAGCAGATGACTTAACCACAATCACATTTCTGCTCGGAATCATCTTT